ACTTTCTATAGTTCAGGTGTACTTTCTATAGTCCAGGTGAACTTTCTATAGTTCAGGTGTACTTTCTATAGTCCAGGTGAACTTTCTATTGTCCAGGTGAACTTTCTATAGTTCAGGTGTACTTTCTATACTTCAGGTGTACTTTCTATACTTCAGGTGTACTTTCTATACGTCAGGTGTACTTTCTATAAGAGGAAAGACAAAAACGTGTAAAGATAGAAATAATAACTAACGGGAAGAGTAGAGCAAGTAAAGACGGCAGCAGAGAGAGGAAATGTGGTCATTTTATTCTCCAGCAGTCTAAGCCTATAGCAGCAGAACTAAGGGCTAGCTCAGGAAACCCAAGCCAACCCTAGCTATAGGATTTATCAAAAAGGAAAGTCTTCAAACTGGACAATGTGTCAGCCTCACGAACAGAAACTGGAAGTTGGTTCCACAGGAGAGGAGCCTGATAACTGGAAGATCTTCCTCCCATTCTGCTTTTGTAAACTCTAGGAACCACAAGTAAACCTGCAGTCTGAGAGTGAAGTGCTCTGTTAGGAAAATGTGGAACAATAAGATCTGTAATATAAGATGGAGCTAGGTTGTTGAGAGCTTTGTAGGTTAGAAGTAGGATTTTGAATTCAGTTCTGGATTTGACAGGGAGCCAACGGAGAGAAGCTAAAACTGGAGAGATATGATGTCTCCCAGTAACTCCAGTTAAGACTCTGGCAGCAGCATTTTGGATCAACTGAAGACGTTTTAAAGAAGTATTTGTTTTCAAACCGGTGCTCAGGTAAACAAACGATCTTATAATAAATGGGACTGGGATTTACATGTCTAAATAAAGGTTGAATGAATCTTAAAATAAATTATCAAGTTTTAACAAACTATAGATAATTTTGAGTTTTTGAGGTGGAGAATTTCTAAACATTTACTAAATAATGAAAAACTCGTTGTTCAGACATGTTGTCAAGACGGGTCACACAAAGTTAGAAAGTTGTTCTGGTTTCTACAAACATCAAGATGGATTTTATTTGTTTATTTATTTTTGTTCTTTAAATCAAGACTTTGTTTGTGTTTTAGTTTTAATTCCAGCTGCTGTTAGATGACCTGCAGCTGTAACCTCCTTTAGCTTCTCTTTACAATCTGACACCAACCTCGACTCCCTCAGTCTGTCTCTTTCATATAAGATTAAAGCTCCAGCTGCTGCCAGCTGCCAGAATCTTCATGAGATCATCAGAAGGTCCGTTTGATCAAAGTTCTCATTTTCCAAACAATGATGTCACAAAACGGTGAAAATGACGTGATTAGGATTATCTTTATAATCTGTGATGAATCCTGCACTTCAGATTATTTCACTCCTGGTGACTTCAAGGCTCGGCCCACTTGCTTGTCTCGTTAACCTGGTCCAGTTTAAACCCGTCCAGAACCTGGCTGCAGGTATTTGGTGCTGAAACAAACGAGTTTGTTTTTATTTGACGTGCAGATCTCCCAGCACCGCTCTGCTGATCAAAGATGAGACCCGGAATGTCTTCTACGAGCTGGAGGACCCGCGGGACGTCCAGGACCGCTGCGTCATCAAGATCTACTGCAAGGAGCCGGTCTACGGGACGTACCCGGGTCACCACAACCTGCACCTGGCCAACGGAGACCTGCGGGTGAGTGTCCACGTCTGGTCCTCCGTACAGTCCAGAGTCCGGTTCTCCTTCAGCCCGCAAACATAAAACACCCTCTGAGTCATGTGACCTTTTATCTGGACCAGCGCCAGCCCGTCTCGGCTTCAGCGCCGGGTGTAAAATAAGAACCACGGTTCTGAAGAGACGGGTCCAGCAGAGTTGAGTTTTTACACTTAAAATCATAGATGGATGAATGTGCTGAAACAGATTCTGCAGCAGATAAATGACTCTGAGGATGCTCGTTAAATGTTTTTGTTTTTAAACGTTCCGTGTTTCTGTCGCTGGCCGTCGTCATGTGTTGTGGTTCTGGCTGCTGACGGGCCGGGTCTGCAGTGACCCGCCGGTGTTCCAGAGGTCAGCTGCTCTCCCAGGACCCGCTCCGTCTGCAGCTCTGAAACCTTCGGAGCGTTTTACGACTTTTATTGACCGAGCAGCCTCAGCTCGGGTTTTATGTGCGAGTAAAGTCGCTCGGTTGTCAAGGTGAGGACGTGCATGTGTGGATTGGTGGGTTGTTTGCTTGCTGTTATTGAACTCCTGCCAGCACAGCTCAGACTGTTCCCTGATTGCGGACCACAGAAGCATGACCGAGACCCCTGAGGCCGGTCTGGGCCTGAGCCTGCAGGGCCGACGGCGGTGGGAATCGGACTGATTGGCAGCATCCCCTCAGTGGGAGAACGTCCTGATTTAAACGGCAGCGTGGGGCGAACTTCAGGGACCGCAGACGCCTCCAGACTTCAGGGGGAGTAAAAGGCCCTCGAGTCCTCGGTGTGGTTAAAACCCGCCGTCGAAGCTGTTGCTAAGAGACGAGACCGAAGATCACGGCTCTGGAGGCTGCAGCCAGACTGTCCACCGGGCGTCGTTGCCGGAGTCCTCCGGGCTTTTGTGTGAAATATCGGCTTTTCAATTTGAAGACGTGTTTGTGCATCTCGAGCGATTACGGTGTCGTCTTCCTTTGTGTCCCACTCGGCCCATTCGTCCCAACAGATTCAGCCTGCCGCTCGGCTTTGTTTCCTTCCTGTGACACCGGAGCCCGAAGCCAGAAGACGAATCCTTTATGCTCAGATGATCAATAAGTTTAAAGAGGCAGTTCAGTCTTTTCTGTCTTCACTAAGAAGAAAGTTAGAGGCGTCATTGATTTAACCGTGAAAAGGATTTTTAAAGGGCGTCTGGCAACACAGTTAGTTTTTAGGATTGTTTTAAAAATACTGAAAGTTTAAAGCTAAAGCAAAGTAACAGTTTAAAGGTAATAAAATCCTGTGTTTAGTGATATGGTCATACTGTATGTATGAAAATTAGGAATTAGACCGTAGAAGATTTTTACGTTATCTTTTCCTCACATGAGCAGCAGCAGCTGTTATCAAGTTATAACAAACTGAGCTGCGGTGAAGGATCTTTCTGAAGGTCTGAAAAACTGAAACGGTTGATGAGTCAGACAAAAACTGAATATTATGGGAAACATCTGGAGACTTTAGCCCATAGACGTGTTAGCATACAACTGTCTAGAGTTTTGGAACCAGAGTCTGTGCACTGGTGATCAAAGGGCTTTAGGCCCCGCCCACTTCCCTGTATACAACCATGGTGTCGCATGAGCTTTCTTTGAATTGTGAAATAACAAGTTAAAGCTAAACACGTTAGAAAACTGATTATTTGAACATGAAGAAAAGAACGAATTAAGAGTCGTCCCCTGAAATGAAGCCAAACGATTTTTTGTTTTAAATCGAACGTGGACGTTCTCATCACCTGCAGGTGCAGCGTCAGTGATTTTGTGTTACTTCCTGGAAGGACAACAAATATATGAATAAATAAATACCTGGAGCAGTTTACACTAAACATGATTTAATTAAAAAAACTTAGACGAGCTGACAGTTTATAGCTTAAACCTCAAAAATAGACGTTTGATTAATGAGATCAATACATTTTGCCCCAAACACGAACCTGACATCAAGATTTACTGATTTAAAGCTTGATCACAAGTTCATTTATTTATTTGTTTGTTTGTTTATTCATGTTGGTGACTTCAGTAAAATTATTTAAATCTATAATAATCGATTTGCTTCGATTAATTTTTTTTACCTCACAAGTTAAAACTGTTATTTCTGATCATTCAACGACATTTTTATAAGAAACTGAAGAATTTTCAGTTTTTAAAGTTTAATTATTAGATTTAATTTAATTATTATTAGATTTTTATTTTCTGATCCAAACTTGCTCAGATTCCTTGTTTTCTTTGTTTTTTCCAGAGGGAGCTGGTTCACGCGCAGCAGGACTCCCCCCCCGCCCGACGCCTCAGTAACCCCCCCATGTCCTCCCAGCACTCGTCCTCCTCTGCGTCGCCTCCTCACGGCTCCCCGTCCCGAGCCCGCCTGCTCTACGGCGCCGGCAGGCCCTCCTCCTACGCCGGGCCGCCCCACCACACCCACTCCCTGCCCCACCCTCACGCCCAGCCCCACCACCCCTCCCCCCACCAGCAGCCGCAGCTCCATCAGCCCCACCACGCCCCGCAGGCCTTCTGCACCTCCTCCAGCGCCATCTTGGAGCGCCGGGACGTGAAGCCCGACGACGAGCTGGGCTGCTCCAGGAGCGTGGTGCTGCTGCGGGGGGACGACCGTGTGGGAGGGGGGATCTATGCAGACCCGTACGCTCTGGGCCCAGACCCAAATCGCATGAGCCTCGCAGGAGGTCCGCACTCTCCTCTGCCGGCCAGAGCCGACCCGTACGCCTCCCTTTACCGGCGGGGGGGAGGCGGGGGTCCTGGGTCGGTGCGGTCCCTCACCTCCTACTCTGCTGCTGCTCTACAAGGTGAGCTGCTGGAGAGCGGCGTCCTCTACAGACCCGGAGGACCGCTGTACAACGACGCCTACACTGCCTCCATGTTGGCCATGGGGCTGAGGGTGCCTCCCCCCTCCTCCCCCCAGAAGATCCCCGACATGAGGGATTCCTACGGGGGAACCCTGCCCGCTCGGAGCTCCCCCGGGCGGCAGGGCCTGAGGCGGGACTCTGTGACCTCCTCTGTGTTTGGGGACAGCCCCAAGGCCCGAGGCCCGGGTCCAGGGTTGGGTCTCACTGCGGAGCAGCTCTGCCTGATCGGAGGAGGGGACGGGGGAGGAGGCGGGGGCTTCGGGTCGCCTCTGCTTGGAAACGAGACGGAGACCAGGTGGGACACCTTTCAGGTTCAAGACACGTAGTCCTGAAACAGAAAGTCCACTTTTAGAAACCAGAACTTCATGAAACTGATCTGGACTTTACCGGGTCCTGAAATGATTCAGATCTAACCTCAAGAGAACAAAAACACAGAACGGGTTCTGCCGAGGCGTCATTTGTTTAAAACGACGAGTTAAAGCTGTGAGTTGATGAACGAGTCCGGTCTAGCTGCTTCTACAGGATCTGAGAGGTCCAGGATCTGAGAGGTCCAGATCAGCCCAGAGCTGCTGATCAGACGTTTAGATTAAAGGTTCTGACCCCCCAGGCTGAAACGGTTCAGTCTCAAAGACCAACCTGATCAATTTATTTTAAATTTTCAACATGTCCAAATAAATTTGTGTCGTCATGGTCATCTAGAACCCGTCTAGTTTGTGGATCTGGACCCTCGCACAGGGACCACATGACCCGGTCCAACAATAAATAATTAAATGAATAAACTGGTTCAGATCGGCCTTTCTTTATTTCTGAAGTGTTCTCCACTAGAATAAATAAAACAAGTAGGTGGTGATGTGCACGGCGTAAAGCAAAGCTTCAAAACTCCTCGATGTCCCAAAGAGCTGCACGTGCACTACAGTAAAGTGCAGGTAAAATAAAAACAGTCTAAAGTAAAAATTTGCATTAAATTTCCACAAATGGTAAAATAAATAAATAAATACAAACACGTGCCTTAATGATGTCGAGGTCAACTGGAATTAAAAAGTCAACAGAAAGAAATGTCTTCACAAACGTTTCAAATATTTTTTTTTAATTCAGTTTTTCATGAAAATATTTAGTGATTTTCAAAAACTATCCATAAATTACGTCCACGTGACTCCCAGGGGGCCAGTGTGGTTTCGAACGGTCGCAGTTAGTTACCACCCTAACTGATCGTCAGTGGGACCTGCTCCAACACTTACAGGTGTGTGTAAACATAACACCAAGGTGGAAAGACATCAGCAATGACCTCAGAGAAGCAGCAGCTGCTCGTCAGTCTGCGAAGGGTCAAAGGTCACTGAAGAGGCCATCGTTACACAGACAGAAAAACATTTCACAAGTGGAAAACATTTAGGACAGTCTTCCTAGCAGATTCACCCTGAAGGTCAGACTGTGCAGTGCTCAGAGAAATGTGTTCCACTCTGCAGGCCTCAGTCAGCAGGTTAAAGGTCAAAGGTCATGGCTCATTTGGAAGAAATCTGTCTAAAAGCGACCTGACAGCACGACCTCTGCAGTATCGGTTCTGTTTAATCTGGATTAATTAATCTTAGTTTTGTGTTTTCTGTGTTCTTGGTGGGTCTCCAGGGAGCGAATGGAGGCCATGGAGAAGCAGATCGCCAGCCTGACCGGGCTGCTGCAGAGAGTTCTGACCCGGGCGCCTGAACCAGAAAGCCCGTAAGGAAACACCCAGCACCTTTCAGTTCCTGTAACAGATGTTCACATCTGTTTCCTAACGCGGGCTTCAGACGGGTCCATGACCGGTTTGAAGGTTTACAAAGTTTAAACGGTCACAGAGGCACTCGGGTCCGAGACGAAGGAGGTTTTGTTGTTTTGTTCATCACCTGGAGCGTCGAGCAGCTCGTTAAAAAAGATCAACTCTGCTGGTTTCACATTGATCAGAACAATAACCCGTGGGTCGTCTCCCTGAGGAACACCTGTCCCAGGTGGGGGGGAGTCGCGTCATTGAATACATAACGATAAGAATAATAAGTGTCAAAAAGTAGAGAAAAAACTCAAACTAGTCAGGAAAAAGAAATGTCAGTCTCACATGACCGTGACATCACACCCCTTATAAGGAAGTGAAGGGGCTGTTTCCAACGCTGCGACTGAAAGGGCTGGAAATCTCACAAAAACTGTTTTTAAAACCAGTTAAACCAGTTGGAGTTACTTTTCAACGTTTGCCACAGATCAGAGGTATTTCTTTATGTCTCCATCTCTCTGGATGTGAAATGTGACAAAATGGTGAATGTTTAAGAATCCCTTTGAAACGAACGTTTGTAACAAGCTACGAGATTTAACACGATTTCATCTGTCAGGATATTATTATAAACAACAGATTATTACTTTATTTACCTTAGAATTAGAAATGAACAAAAATAAGTTGTTGACTGTTAGCTCACGCTTAAATTTAATTCAAAACTCTCAGTACTTTTTCAATTTCAACCTCGATCTTATATATTATAAAATTATGTTCTAAATAAAAAGTGAATTAAAGTTTAATTTAAAATCTTTCCAGGAAATGTTGTCAACATGTTTCTTTGTTCATGGTCTCTTTATTTATGTGTTAAAATAAAAACTCTTCAAATATTTCATCTTGTATTATACTGTAATAAAATAATCATTGTTTGATATTAATTAGGCCACAAAAGTAACAATTATTATCTTAAAGTTTTAAATATTTTTTGCTCACGGTTCTCGAACCATCAGAATCTCAGTTTGTTTTTTGTCGACAGACGTCCTTTGAGCGCCTGCTGGATCACTGATTGCTTAAAATATTTTCAAATTAAAGGATTGAAGTATTTAAATGTTTACTTCCTGCAGGGAGAAGATGGAGTCGGCGAGCGACGGCTCAGGAACCGACCGTAAGTTCCTACCACTCAAACTAAACCATTTTATCTGCTCGTCTCTGCTCCCGTTGCTGCAGGAAGTCGTCTTTCCTCCAGACCGGCTGTGATTTTATTTATTTTAACTGCGTAACGTTTAACCGTGACTGTGACGTTTCAAGCTGCTGCTTCGTGTCGTTCCTGCTGCTCTGTAACTCTGCTGCTCGTGCTTCTTGTTTTAGCTGGACAAACTAAAAAAAAGAAAGGTAGCTACAGTTTGTGTTCCAGTCTGACCCCCCCCCCCCCCCCCCCGTCCTTCATTATTGATGTTTCTTCAACTTCCAAACTAACGCTTCCGTGTTATTAAAGAAACCTTTCTAACAGCTGCTCTTCATCTCTCCTCTGTGTTTGGAGTTCAGATTCATCGAGTTGCATTAATTCAGTTATTAATACATTTTATTAAAGAAGCGCCTGTCAGGACACTCAAATATACTGCACGGTTAAAACTAATTTACAGAAGAAGAAAAAAGGTAACGACACGAGTTTAAAAAAAGTCAAACGTTAAAATAAAAAGTACACCTGAATAAATTAAGAGGGAGGGGCTGATTGAAAGAGATGGTTCTCAGACCAGTTTTCAACACTGGGAGAGAGGTGATGTTTTGTAATTCATACACCAGAGGGAGGGGGATGACCTGTGGGGGCAGGAGGGGGTGAGACATGCCGAAGGTCATTTAACTGGGAGCCAGTGAAGCTGCAGCAGGACGACAGGGATGTGATTATAGGAGGGGGTTTAAGTGACACGGGCAGCTGAGTTCAGAACCATCTGTAGCTTGTGAAGGGATTTATTGAGGAAGCCAAAAAGATCGATCTGAGACGTCATGAAACTGGACAAGAATGTCAGTGGAGTAAGAGGTGAAAGAAGGACAGAGACGGTTAATGTTGTGATGGTGGAAATGAGCAGACCGAGCTGTCGAGAAAGACAGACACTTGAGCTGAGGTGGGGTGGGTGGAGCAGTGAGTTGTTCAGTGGGAGGAGAAAATGTTCAACTTTGGAATGAGAGTTTTGTTACAAACAAGGATGAGTTCTGTTATCACTGTTTAGAATCAGAATAAACTTTATTGGCATTGCACCGAGATACAACGCAAATATGTACGTACAGTCGTCCAAAAGATGGTCGGCGTGCACGAAGCTGTGGCTATAAATAAATAGCGTGGCCCTCTTATTCAGAATAATATTTTGGTTAGATGAGGAAAGGGAAGAAAACACGAGGAGAGACGGTATAAAAAAAAGATCTCATGCCGTGTCCTAGACAGGGCACGATTTGAAGCATAAAAAAAACCTACCACAGCAAAGCAACATAAACAGACGTTAACATTTACATATAGGCCGGTGAAGACATTGAATTTTTAAGGGAAAGTCGTAGCATAGTCCAGATAAGAGGTGTCATTCATCATCAGCTCAGTTGAGGTTCTGTTGCATGTCCACGGCCTTGGGGAAGGGAGGGGTGAGGAGACGGACAAAGCATCTTTGTTGTTTTCAAAACATTCCAGGAGGAGTTGAGATAAGTCTGGCGTCACGGCCACAGTTTGGGTCAGGCAGAACTCTTAAATTGTTTCTGCCTTTTAAAGTCTCTCTGGTATATGTTCCTCTGATGGAACTCCAAAATAGCCGAATTGATCCTTTACGCCAAAAGTCGAGCTCACAGCATTCTCTAAGATTATTCCCACCGTTCATGGGTGCTGCCAGAAAAGTTCACAGTCCTGATAACAGCTGCTCCAGTTCCCTGCTGCAGCTCCCCAAATTCAGTCCGAGCACTGTTGAGTTTTGACCCATCCACACGAATTTATAGACAATCCAGAATTCACCAGCCAAACGGCAAAAAAACAGTTGTCGTCATGAATCCAATTTGTTTCCGTCGAGGTAAGAGGGTCCTCCTTATGCCCTGACTCCTGTCGGGAGAAGTTGGATCAATTTTGTTGAGAGACCAGCTGATACTGAGTTGGAAAAAATTGCAGGAAGCTCACCAAGACCATCAGTGAGGATGGAGGGCGAGAGAGTAGAGTTAGTTCTTCTAGTCATATAGAAGTGGGAGTCTGTGCAACAGTGAAAAGGATACCAAATTCATGGAAAATATGAACTGGAGAAAGAAGGTAAATAACAAAGAGGAGGGACCCAAGTATAGAGCCTTGTGGCACACCAGAAAAGACGTTGGAAGACTGAGAATGGAAAGGTTGAAGTTATATGAATGGAGTGCAGCCAGATAAGATATAAATTATGTTGTAGGGTTTTTACCCCCTCCTGAGGGGAGCGGGGAAGCAGTGAGTTGTTCAGTGGGAAGAGAAAATGTTCAGCTTTGGAAAGTGTTTTTGGTACAGACAAGGATGAGTTCTATTATCACTGTTGGAGAAAATTCTAGGAAGCTCACCGAGGCAGTTGGTGAGGATGGAGGGTGAGAGGGTAGAGTTAGGTCTTCTAGACATATAGAACTGGGAGTGTCTGCAACAGTGAAAAAGACACTGAATTCATGGAAAATATGAACTAGAGGAAGAAGGTAAATAACAGAGGAGGGACCCAAGTATAGAGCCTTGTGGCACACCAGAAAAGACGTTGGAAGACCGAGAATGGAAAGGTTGAAGTTATATGAATGGAGTGCAGCCAGATAAGATATAAATGATGTTGTAGGGTTTTTACTTTTGTTATGGATGTTATACTAATAATTTGAGACAAATACTCTGTAATCAGTTCAAGTTTAATTAGCTGTTGATCAGAAGCGATGAAACCACAAGTTCTGAAGACGAAATATAGATTTTAGTTTTTAATTTGTTCAAACATTTCCAAGTAGCCTATCCTGATTTCTGACAGCACACCTGGACAAGTTCTGATAAATCTAAAGAGCATTTAAAATTATAAACGTAACGTTTCCACATTATAGACTTTACAAATAAAATCAAAAGATTTGAGTAAAAAGTATTGAGTTGTTTTGCTCTGAGTGGAACAACAATGTTTCTGTTTTAATAATTTATTATATTTTGGGTTTTGGCAGAGTTGGCGCTGACTGTTGGCTCTTTCCTCCCCACAAAATAAAAAATAAATAAATTCTTGGATCGGTTTAATTGGCTCTAAATGTTTGCATCAGTTGAGTAAATCTTCCTTCTCAGCGCGCTCACAGATCTTCATCAGACACAAACGTTGGCTCAAAGTTCCTCGTCTTTATTTTGACTCGGTGCCTCAGACTGTGGAGGTTCAGATGTTCTCATTCAGTCTCCTGGAGGTCCAGGACCTCAGTTTGTTGCTCCTTTAGCTTCAGCTAAAACCTTCAAATGCAACTCAGTTCCTGGTTGGTTGTCTGTGTTCTTCCGTCTTGTTCTGCATGACCCGACATCCTGGTTCCTGTTGAGCTCATTGTCATCTCAGAGGATGATCGGACCTGGAAGCACTCATCCATGTTTGGCTGTTCTGGGACTGTGTTCTGATGGGGTCTCTGGAGGTTCTGTCTGTCATGACCGACCCGTTTGTCTCTGAAACCTTCTCATGATGTTGATTGTCCCGTCTGCTGTGATCTCACCTCCTGACCTTCAGAGCTGAGAGAAGCTGGACTCAAACGTCAGTTTCTGTCAGCTCTGACCCCCCACCCCACGAGTCCTAAAACAACCTTCTCTAATCTGACCTGTGTCTCCTCGGGGAGCAGCTCTGACTCCATCGGCTCCTCTGGCCCTGATGCCTCCTCCCTCCTCCAGCTCCAACCAGCCCGTCACCGTGTCCCGCCTGCAGATGCAGCTCCACCTGCAGAACCTGCAGCAGAACACCAACGCGCTGCGCAAACAGCTGTCGCAGCTGCGCAACATTCAGGTGAGCAGAACTTCTGTCGTCATTAAATAACTTTAATCTAAATCACCTTTAAATGTAAGAATTCTGCATAAAAACATTGTTTATTACAAAATATCACAACATCATCGTGAACTAAAGCTTCATTAAACCGTTGTGATCCGCTTGAGTCGGGTCGCAGGTGCAGCAGCTTGAGCAAGGAGGTCCAGACGTCTCTGAACCTCCTCCAGCTCCTCTGGAGGACTCCAAGGTGTTCCCAGACCAGCTGAAAGACATGGTCGTCCTGGTCTTCCTCGGGGCCTCCTCCCAGTCAGACATGCACCTCCCTATGGAGGCGACCAGGGTCCATCCTTACAAGATGCCTGAACCAACAGACTCCTCTCGATGGGGAGGAGCAGCGGTTCTACTCGAGTCTCTCCCAGAGAACACAACAAAGTTTAAAATACAAACTAGCATGAATTCACATCACCCGAGTTTAAGTTCATCTTTTAATGAGGATCAAGATTTTCCTGCTCGTTGGGTAAATCCTGAAAAGAACGTGTGATCTGTTGAAGCTCTGAAGAAAAGCTGAGGATGATTCTCAGCAGTTTCAGTAATTAGTTAAAGACATTTTGTATCCACAGACAAACGTATAATCACCACCTTTAGCCTTTCGACAGCGGGCGATAATAAACTGCTGACCTGACAGAAATTATATTTTTATATATTCCACCTGTTGCGGTGGAAATGAGACAAAGTATAAGTTTTATTTTCTTTCACTGAGACAGTCTCATTTAAGAGACGTTTAATGTGAACTGCGCTTCAGTAAAAAGCAGTTTTTTAATTTAAAATCCTAAAAAGTGAAAACAGGAAAGCCTCAGAGGAGCCCAAGTGTCCTGAATGTTCCTTAAACCTTCATGAGTTGAGAAAATAAAGTAAAAACATTCAGATCTGCACTTTTTGTTTTGAGCTCCTCTATGAACGTCTGTGTTCGTCTCCAGCTGGAGAACCAGGACTCGGTTCTGTCCCTGCTGCGGCAGACGGAGTCGGAGCTGAGCCTCATGATGCTGGACGCCATGCGGCCCCAGGAGGACCCGCTGCAGAGACAGCGCCTCCTGGTGGAGGAGGAGAGGCTCAAGTACCTGAACCAGGAGGAGCTGCTGATTCAGCGGCTGCAGTGAGTTCACGGACCGGGTCAGAGGTCGTGTTTTAATGAAAAACGTAAATATTTCAAATGTTCTCGTCTGAAGCAGCTTGTTGTTGAACGTTTCTGTAGGAAACGTTTGAACCTTCTGAAGCTGCCGTGGCTTGAGGTTTCACTGTGAAGCCGTTGATCTGTTGGTTTCAGGCCGGAGGCTCGGTGCAGCTGGACTCCTGCTGTTTCAGAGTTTTACACATTTGGTTTTTCCTCCACAGCGACCTGGAGAAGTCCGTGGAGGAGCTGCAGAGGAACTCGTCCATCAACCACGGCCTGGTGACGGAGCAGGACGTGGAGCAGAAGAGCAAGGAGCTGAGGATGCTGGGAGATACGCTCACTGAGCTCAAAAGTAGGAGCTCCAAGTTTCCTGTAGCGATCATTAACCAAGTCCAAGATCTTTGAGTCACCTGCTGCTGCTCACTGTGACCCTGTGTTTTAGGAATAAAACTAGCTGGACTGAAGTTATTCAAACAATTTAAAAAATTTAATCCACTTTTAAATACAGAGATGAGTTCACTGTGGACAGCGGTACCCTCCTGAGTCCAGAGTTTTAGTTGTTCCCCGTCTCAGATAGGGATGGGGCCGATCTGATCCAGTATCGGTATCAGGCTCCGATACCAGCATAATTTACGTAGCGGATTTTTCCGATCCAACCTGCCGATATTTCTGCTCCATGATGCACGTTGGCTTCAAACTATGGACTGGATTTCCTGAACGGCGGCGTGTCTCATGAACCCAGAGTAATCAGACCCGCCCCACATTCAGGAAATCCAGTCCATAGTTTGCAGCAGCTACAACGTGAGGGCTGAGTTAGCAGCACTGTGGCTAACAGCTAACAAACTTTTCATCGAAACATGTCGCTGTGTGGAAGTATTTTACACTAAACACCACAAAACAAGACAGCAATGTCTGCAGAGCCATAGCACCACATTAAACCACGGTAAAGTTAGTTTTACGATGGACGTTCGAGCTCCGGGGCTTCAGCGGTCTGTTATTTTCGTTCAGTCCGGAGAAGGCAGTCTGATTTCAGTCAGCCACGCTCGGTCTGACCTTCTCTGAGGAGGAGGACAGACTGAGCGCTGCTGACCGAGATCAGACTGCCTGCTGCGGATTGAACAAGAAGAAGACATCGCTGAAGCCCCGGAGCTCGAATGTTTACAGAGAAGTTAATAAACTTCATCATAATTAATGACCAACCACTATCAGTTGTAGAAAACAAAGGATTTCTCAGCTTGATACTTGCACCCAAGATATAGTTTACCCTCCAGGAGATATTTATCAGCACAACAGTCATCAAAAAGAAAACACTGAATGAAAAGAGTGCAAAAAGGAGAAAAATGTTATATCTGCCCCTTATTTAAAAAAATATAAAATAACTTTAAACAATCACTTACATTAATCACTTTAATATCCACTTTAAAGCTAGGAATAAAAACAAACATGTTTTGTGTTAGCAGAATTTAATTCTAAATTTAAAACTTATCCAACATTAATAAAACTTACCTCAAGTTGTCTTTTTGGACATGCATGCATATATTTGTACAAATTGTACTTGAGAGGAAATTATTACAGCCTCATATAAAATCAATGATGATCATGATATGGGAACTGGATCGTACGATATTTACATTTAGGTATCGGGATCTGAAGTAAAAAAGTGGATCGGTGCATCCCTAGTCTCAGAGCAAGTACTGGAAATAACCTCCGTCCATCCATCCGTTCACGTTGTGAGCACGATACCTTGAACGAGTGAGGTTCTGACTTCCTGTTTGGTGTGTGGCTACATCTAGAGGTGTTAAAGGTCCCGACTGTAAACTGTGTTGACACGTCAAAAATACAAGATGGCCGCCAGCGTATAAATATTTAAACTGGCCACCCCCATATCTGAGGAAACTTTGTTTTCTACTTTTTATTGTTGCTTAAAAGGAAAGTTTCCTGAAATGACTGAGGACTGATCTGAGGGCCAAAGCCACTATGGGTCACCCCCTGGCTCCTCCACTGCACCTGGTGTTGAATAAAATGGCTCCCTCCAGGAGTCGTCACTCTGACAAACAAACAAAAACAAAAACAAAAAAAACTCCCTCTGTTCTTCTCCAGTGTAACTCCTGCCCACTTAAACATCTTCCATCAAAACATTTAGGTTTACTTCTCTGTTCATTTCCAGTCCAGAAAAACACTAAACTACAAACCTTCACTGTTCAGATCACTCAGCCCCCCCCCCCCCCCCCCCCCCCCCCCCCAGCTGTTTAAGGTTAGTACGACGTCATGAAGATGGAGGGAATGCATATCGCCCGCCACATTTCATCCCAGACTTTTCAACTGGTCTTATTTTGAGCAGCGACGAAAGTTTCAGTCAAGATTTGAAAACGTTTCGTGTGATCTTATGAGAATGTATGAGGACGACTCTCAGCTACTACCACGTCAAGTTTTAGCTACTACCACATCAAGTTTTAGCTACTACCACGTCAAGTTTTAGCTACTACCACATCAAGTTTTAGCTACTACCACTTCAAGTTTTAGCTACTACCACTTCAAGTTTTAGCTACTACCACATCAAGTTTTAGCTACTACCACGTCAAGTTTTAGCTACTACCACGTCAAGTTTTAGCTCAGTATCTTTAAAACTGACTGCATCATAGCTGTTTTTTGTTTTGTTTTCTAACGTTGATTAGCTGTGGCAGCCATGTTGAATTGAATTGAGTTGGGTTGACTCCAAACGTTGTAGATGTCAGTACGACAGCTCTGTCGCCTCAGAGACAACGTTACAGGACCATCTCCTGATCCAGGACCGTCTCCTGATCCAGGACCGTCTCCTGATCCAGGACCGTCTCCTGATCCAGGACCGTCTCCTGATCCAGGACCGTCTCCTGATCCAGGACCGTCTCCTGATCCAGGACCTTTCTGGGTGGAGTTTGCATATTCTCTCCATGCTGCGTGGGTTTTCTCCAGTTTCCTCCCACAGACCAAAAACATGCATGTTAGACTGATTGGTAACTCTAAATTGTCCCTAGGTGTCCCTGTGATGGACTGGAGACCTGTCCAGGTTGTCTCCCGTCTCTCACAGTGACTGCTGGAGCTACAGACGAGCTCCTCGTGTCCTGGGAAGGAAAAGTGAGTAAAGAGAATGGATATCCAATAATCACACTCAGAAAGTTTCATAAAAATGTGTCCAGTGGTTCCTGAAATATTTGTTTTTGAACAATTAGTTGTTAAAAATTAAAATAGTTTTAGTCAAATAATGAATAAAAGTCGAGTCTCACTAATTAAGGGCAACAGGATAAAATCTTGTGATGATCTCAGTGAAGGGGACTGTTGTCTCAACAGACTGCAGGAAGGAACACCAGAACAATAAAACACTGAAACAGCAGTAAACTCAGTAAACCATGTGCGCTCAGTGCAGCAACGTGCACGTTGGGTCAGTCTCTAAACAGTCCAACTGTATTTCTGACCTTTGCTTCAGAGTAAATGTGTAACAGACGTGTGTGTGGTGGAGCCTCTGCAGGATCTGTAAATAAACTCGTATTTGCTGAAAAGTCTCAACTTCTCTAAAAACTCCTAAAATCTGCTGATCAGTAAACGTGTGTTTTTACTGTAGTACTCGGGTCGTATTCGTCTACAGGAAGTGTCAAAGAGTCGCTCGTTAAATACACATTATGCAAATGACCAGATGAATATTTATGAGTGTTTAACTGTGATTACTGTTCATGGAGTTCCAGGTTTGGCCTCTGGTCCTGATGTTCTGACCCCGGCTCTTCTCTCTGTTCTCTGAATATGCATGAGAGACTCTGCAGCTCAGCGGGACACGTCGATGTGTCCAACACTTGTTCTTAAAGTGGATACTACACACGCAGCCACCGAGCCCCTGGCTATTAAAGCCTGCTTGGGTGGGCGGGGGGGGGGGTTAGGTAGTTGATCATGTAATCACTTGTGTTTCTGTTAGCAAAATATTTCATGAATCAGTGCAAGATGCATGAAACTCTCTGAATGTAACTGTTGAATGTACGGCTACAGATGGTTAATTTTTAGAGTCAGCCTGAATCAAGATGGCTGCCACAGCTAATAGACCCCAACAAACACAAACATGGTGACAGCTCAGTCGTCTTCATGTCCAAAGAGTCGTGTGTCCATCAGCAGTTTGTCCTCTTTCATCTTTTAAAGGTGAAGGCTGCACCTGTTGTCACCTTTTTGGGCCACGCCCATTCTTACCGGAGTTACAACGCTTTGCTGTTTTCACTCTGAAATTAAATTTATCTAAAAAAATGTATCATTTGTTTAATAACATGTCTGATTTCTTACAAATTGACATATATAATTTTTTGATAGTTTTGTCTGTATGTATTTTTGTGTATATCTTTTTATATTGCTCAGGTGTTAATTATTTAAATGGTTTTAGCGTTTTACCATATTTGTGATATTTCTATGTACGTATTTGGTCCGACACCTACGGGCGGCTGTAGCTGAGTGGTTAGAGCAGTCGTCCTCCAATGCAGGAGGGGGGGGTTCTATTCCACCAGCAGTCACATGCTGAAGTGTCCTTGGGCAAGACATGAACCCCTCATTGTTTCTGATGTGTGTCCCATCAGTGTATGAATGTGATAAAGCTCTGATCAGTCTTTGTAGAGATCTAGTATAGAGCTGTATGAACGGGTAAATGAGGCACAGATTGTTGTAAAGAGCTTTGAGTATCTTGATCAGATAGAAAGGCGATATATAAGTACAGTCCATTTACCTAAGACGACCTATTTAGGATGATGTTTATTTTTTTTATTTTTTTGCCCAGTGAAGGTCAAGTGAGCAGAACATTGCAATAAATAATCGCTCCAAAAGTTAGATGGTGTGAGGGAGTGTCTCTTCGCCTCTTTGGATTCAGCTGGCTAAAATAATGGACGTGAAGTTTTTTTGTTTTGCACAGAAATTAAGCTAAAATTTGGTGTGGTAGTAACTGAGAATCATCCTCAACACAAACTCGGCATAAGATATTTATTTGAAACTTTGGCTTACAGAGTGGTAAGTGATACGCATTCCTTCAAAGATTGCTGCCTTGATTATTAAAAGCAAAATATCGGTTGTTAATCACGAGGAAAACCTGGTGGCTATTTAAAAAAAATGCTGCACATCTGTTTATCTCAAGACGCTGAAAAACGAGGGTTACAACAAATGCTTTGCTGCTTTTGTAAATTAAAGATGTAAAAAATCTTATTTAAATGCTGACAGTTTTTATAAAAAATATAAAAGTGGGCTGAATACACGTTCCTGTGGTGCTCCTTATCTGATGATTTGAAGGGTAGATCAAGCTGACTTCTATTTTTGTTACTCCATCTTGTCTTTTTTCCTGCTGAGCCTCAACATGTTGGTATAAAGGATGTAAAATAAAAATCAACCTCCTTAATGTCTCCTCTTATCTTCTCCTTCACCACCTCCTGCCTGTTTTCCTAACTCACCACGTTCCATCTTCATTTATCTGCTGTGTCCCTCCCTGTCATCCTCTCCTCCTCTCCCATCAGACCAGTTCCCCAGCCTGCAGAGTAAGATGAGGGTGGTGCTGAGGGTGGAGGTGGAGGCTGTCAAATTCCTGAAGGAGGAGCCTCATCGCCTGGAGGCTCTGCTGAAACGCTGCAACTCCATGACTGATGCTCTCAGCACGCTGCGCAGGTACTCGCATCAAACGCTCCTCAGTTCGTCTGATTTGAGTTTTTTAACACAAAATATACACGTTTTAGGGCTTTATATATCAAAACACAGGAAAAATACATCTTGAGGATTTGAATTTGAAAAAGAATCATAAAACAAAATAATTCCCTATTTATTGAAAGAATCCCAAAACAGAAGCGTAATATGAAACTTTAACTTCACATTAAATCTTTATTTATTTTTATGACCTGTGTGATTACAAACGTTTGAGCCTGTCCTGGACCAAACAAAACTTTATCGACAACAAAAACAACACAAGATCAGTTTATGAACTCGAAGAGACCAAAAGCAAAATTGATACAACAATAAATAAACCTAGAACGTTAATAAACCTGTTTTTGTTTGGGCGTGGCTGTGAAACGTTTAGTTTACGGTTAAAGCAGTCGAAGGCCTCAGAGAATAGAAACATTTATTTTTCTTTAAGACGGATCGTCCACAAGACGTTTCCAGAACTTTTCTCGTTAGCATGATTTGCAAAAATTGTTTTCCACTTCCAGGAATACAAGACGTCCTTTTTGTAAACTGGTTCTTGTGCAACATATTAAAATATGTAAAACGAAACGTTGGAAGTTTGTTTTTGAATCTTTAAGTTTCGGTTCTGGAACACACTGAGCAGAAATCAATGTTCTGGTCTCTTGATCCAAAGGGTTTACATGTATTTCTCCAACATGCTTCCTTAAGATTTATTAATAAAAATGCAGATTTTCATCAACTGATTAAAAAATAAAACATTAAAAGGAAAAATAACCTGGGGGTGTCCAGATGGAGCTTGTTCAAGGGCCACTTCTGGCCCCTGAGCCATATGTTGCTCATGCATGAGCTAAATATTCTGCCGGTGTTTTGCAGCCAGAAGTTATAAACAAACTGAAATTATTTCTTCATATTGCAATAAACAAAAACAAAAGAAACGCTTTGATCTCCGTCAGTTTGAACGATTTCTGCTTGAAGAAGTTCGTGCAGGAAAAAGTTTCACATTTTGAGACGTTCAAGTTTTTCACAATGAATAAAATAAATCTGAACCCGAATGAAAGGCTGATTAATCTGCTGTACGTCCTGCAGCAGAGAACTAATGTGTGAGTATTTAACGTTGGGTCTGAGGAGCAGCTGAGATGTTCTGATCCGTGACCCGCTTCCAGCATCAAACCTGAGTTTTATTTCCGTCCGATCTGAACGTCCTCCATGAAACGGTCTGGAACCAAAAAACATTCAGTTTCTAACTTTGAGACACGAAGAGGTTTATTTAGTTCTCAGAGCTGCCTGGCTCTGAACCAGGTCCAGTTTTAGGATGTTCAGGTTCCTCTCGCTGTACACAGACGCACATCTGTAGAGATGTAACGGTTTCTTAGAGTGAAACAGAAACATGAAAACAAAACAAAGTATTGACAGGAAGTGGTCTCTGAGATTTATGAAGGATTTAAAAAACAAACGTAAAGTTCAGACTCAAGTAGAGATCAAAGCTGGAAGTAAATCTGTCCTTTGTCTCCCTCGTCCGTCTCTGAAGACAAGTCACCGAGGGCGTCTGGAAGACACCTGAGGACATTTCCGTCCAGCCCCAGAAGCGAGCGGACCACCTGGACATCCTGAGCAGTCCCCCCCTCGGCCTCGCAGACCTCGGCACCAGCGCCGGCCTCGCCAAATGGATGGTGGCGTCCTCCGAGGCCGACGCCTCGGGTCCGGAGCAGGACGTCCCGTCCTCCCTGACCTTCAGGAACCGGGTCCTGGACGAGCTGCCGAGCAGACGTCCTGCTGACAAAGCTGTGTCGGCCGAAGTCCGGCTGGTAATCCTCCTTTATGTTGTCCGTCCATCTGCCGGAGCAGAACCAGATTTATGGTTTTGTGTTTGGCGCCGTCAGGACGGGCCGGCTGGCAGAGGTCCAGTTCCATCAAGGTTCTGTTCTGAGGCTGTTCACGCCCGAGCAGATGTTCCTGCAGTTTCAGAACAAACTCATGTTTCTGTGTGTTTTTCAGGCGGCCGAGCGGGACTGGGAGGAGAAACGGGCCAGTCTGACCCAGTTCAGCGCTCAGGACATCAACCGTCTGCTGGAGGAGACCCAGGCCGAGCTCATGAAGGCCATACCGGACCTGGACTTCGCTGCCAAGCACATAAACAAACCGGCGGTGCCGCCCAAGCCACACATCACCGTCCCAATAACCTCCACCACAGCCACCGGGCCCACAGCCGGGCCCACCGGAACCACCAGCACCGCCAGCGTGGACCAGCAGCCAGGGAAGGTGCAGATGGCGGCCCAGAAACTGAACAGCCTGGAGGGGGGCGGCTCTCATCGCGGGTCGGGTCAGTACTCTGGGTTTTACAGAACATTTACCGTTTGTTTCCCGGTTCTGAAGGCGGTTCTGTTTTACAGTGGACCTGGGCGTGGCCAAGTACAAAACTGAAAAACCCTCCAAGTCTCCGCCCCCTCCCCCGCCTCGCCGAAGCTTTCCGTCGGCACACGGCCTCACCACCAACCGGACCGGGGAGGTGATCCTCACCACCAAGAACCAGAAGGTGAGACGGTTTCAGGTCCAGGATCAGAACCGGACCTGTCATTCCCCGATCTGTTATGGAAGCACGATCCGTAGTTTATGAATCAGAACTGTCGTAACTTAAAGAAGTACGTTCTGTATCTGCACCGACCTTCATGTAGCTAATTTACACCACTCGCATCCTGTTACAAATCAGTGGTTACGGTGCGACGCACCAGACCTGACCCCAGCCTGGACTGACCTGACCCCCAGCCTGGACCGAGCTGACCCCCAGCCTGGACTGACCTGACCCCAGTCTGGACTGACCTGACCCCAGTCTGGACTGAGCTGACCCCAGCCTGGACTGAGCTGACCCCAGCCTGGACTGACCTGACCCCAGCCTGGACTGACCTGACCCCAGCCTGGACTGACCTGACCCCAGCCTGGACTGACCTGACCCCAGTCTGGACTGAGCTGACCCCAGCCTGGACTGACCTGACCCCCAGCCTGGACTGACCTGACCCCCAGCCTGGACTGACCTGACCCCAGCCTGGACTGACCTGACCCCAGCCTGGACTGAGCTGACCCCAGCCTGGACTGACCTGACCCCAGCCTGGACTGAGCTGACCCCCAGCCTGGACCGAGCTGACCCCCAGCCTGGACCGAGCTGACCCCCAGCCTGGACTGAGCTGACCCCCAGCCTGGACTGGATCTATGTTTAGATTTTTCTAAAGACCTGAGCAAATATCTTCTTGTTTTTAGTATTTCACCTGGTTTTATCCGACACCTTGATCTATTGTAACACTACTTTATATTTTTATCAATAGATTTGTGTCACAATAAACTCGTCCTCTCAGCCTGAACACAAATGATCTAATTCAAAGCACTTGTTTAAAATCTTTAGTTTTTACTCTTCACTGTGTATTTTCTGAGGATTAGTAAAAGAAAGACGATATTGTCCAGGTGTGATCGAGCCGACTGCTTCTCTCGTGCTCGCCGGCTCGAACGAATCGCTCGGAGCTTCCACCGAGACCTGCGGAGCTCCGTTTGAGTAAGAACCACCGTGTTCACCTGTAAACGTCTGAAACGGTTCTTCGTGTTTTATTTTCCAGATTGAAGACGATGCTGAGATGCCTAAAACTCTGGTGAAGCTGAGGCGGACCCCCTCGGACGCCCCCCGCCCCGCCTCCACGCCGCCCGTCATCGCAGCTTCAGCCGTCAACGACGAAGACGAGGAGGAGAAGATCATCGCCGAGCTGGAGGTTCGAGTCCGATCAGACAGATTTCTGTTTTTATTAATGTGTTGGATTTTAACTCGAACGCACCGCGTTGTTTCACGAACTCCAAAGATATTTCAGAGAGCTCCGGTAAAAGACCCGCCTCGTAGTGACCCGCCCGGGTCCCGATCAAACGCCGGTGGGTCCTGGAGCAGAAAGGTAAAATCAAACCCGCCGGCTGCTTCAACTCCTCTGGATCTCTGCTCACTTTCCCTTTTTATTAACTTCTGTTTATTCCAACTTTCTGCTCTGAGTAAAGAACGTTAACCTCCATAAATAAAATAAACCAAAGTTCTGCAGAGCTGCGAGAAATTAACCGGAGCTCCACGGTAAAGATCAGAATCTGCGACGTCCAACAGGAAGTCGGTCTGATCAGTAACATCTGCTTCTATTTCTACAGAACTCTCTCTGTCAGCGTTTTATCACGACTTCTCTTCTTCACAGCTTTTATTTAAAAAACACCAGAAAGTCTTAATTTACTTTATTTAAAACAATCTTTACATCCAAAACATTGATAACAAAACCAAAAAATTAAAATTTAATATTTTACCTTCAGTCATACAAACAGGAAGTTGACATGACGTTTTAAATATTTTGCTAACAGATCTCACTAAAAAGATGTAAAGTTTTAGGAAAGTATTTGTTAGTTTTGACTTTTAATTTAATAAAATCTGAAAATAAAGTCAAGTTCCTGCATCACAAACATCATCCTGGACGAAAAGAAGAAATATACCAGATAAATATAACAACAGTGTATTGTCTGAGTACAGAATACTGAGTACAAAATACTGAGTATAAAATACTGAGTACCTCTGAGTACAGAATATTGAGTACAAAATACTGAGTACAAAATACCTCCGTATAAAGTACTGAGTATAAAATACTGACTACGTCTGAGTACAGAATACTGAGTACAAAATACTGAGTATAAAATACTGAGTATAAAATACAGAGTACATCAGAGTATAAAGTACTGAGTATAAAATACAGAGTACAAAATACTGAGTACAAAATATTGAGTATAAAATACTGAGTACCTCTGAGTACAGCATACTGTGTAGAGTACATTAAGTCGTCCTCAGCTGTGTCGTGTTTTTGAGTTCGAGGCTGATCTGAGCTCTCCTCCTCCTCCTCCTCCTCCTCCTCCTCCTCCTCCTCCTCCTCCTCCTCCTCCTCCTCGTCTTCTTCTCTTCTGCGTGTTTCAGTTTGTGGAACTTTATTCTGAACCTTTTGAACCAAATTAATAATTAGTTTGAAGAACATGTGATGAACGTTGAGCTGAGCCTGAAAACATCTGAGATCCTCCGGTTCTGGAGGTTGGAGCCAAAAGATTCAGCACGGCGCTGAAGATCAGCTGCAGACAGAAAAAACACAACCTGCTCTGTTTTCAGACAAAACTAAAATAATTTAGATTCTAAATAAAACAGCATTTTAAACAAAACAAATATTTTCTGTTAAATGTTGACGAACTTAGTTAAAATATGCTGAAGATGCTGAGACTGCTGAAGCTAAAGTAGTAAATACTAGCCAAAAACTTAAAGTAGCCAAAAGCTAGTTAGAATGTAAAAGTAGCAAACCGTTACCTAAAAGCTAAAATCAGCAAAAAGTAGCTAGACAGAAAGAAAATAGCTAAACCAAAAGTAGAAAAAATGGTTGCTACATAAATAAAGTAACAAAAAAATAAAAACTAAAAGCTGAAAGTAGCAAAAAGCAACAACATTTAAAGCAAAGGTAAACAAAAGGTAGCCAAAAAATACAAATACCAAATGATAGCTAGCTAAAAAGTAGTCAAATTTAGCTCAAAGGTGCAAGTAGCAGTAAGCTAGCTTGAAGTCAACAAAATCAAAAAGATTCAAACTTAAAGCTAAAGGTAGCAAAACATAAAGTTCCAACAGCTAAAATGATCAAGACCAGTCTAATGTTTGAAAGTTACAAAGTGTAGCTAGAAGCTAAAAGGGGTGGCACAGGTTAGAGAAGGCAAGCTTGTGATCAGAAGGTCGCTGGTTCGACTCCACGGACCGACAACATCAAAATGTGGGTGTGAAAGGTTAAACACCCACACCTGCCTTCACCCTGGGCCCTTGAGCAAGGCCCTTAAACCCCCCCCCCCCCCCCCCACCACCACCACCACCTTCTGCTCTCCCAGCGCCCTAGATGGAGCTCTGCTCCACACAGGGGGCTGTGGTTGCATCAGGAAGAACATCCAGTGTAAAAACAAGTCTTCATGTGGTGACCCCTGAAAAGGGAGCAGCCGAAAGAAGAAGCAGCTAGAAGGTAAAAGTAGCCAAAACCCAGCTAAAAGTAAAAACGATAACTGAAACCATCAAAATACTGGTTACACGCTAAAAGTGTAAAGGGTTAGCTAAATGTACCTAAAAGAGTAGCTAAGAGACGTGTAACAGTCAAAAACTAAAAATGGTCAACTGTAGCTAAAACACAGCTAAAACCTAAAAGTAAAAAAAGAAAGTATCTAAAAAATCAGCTAAAGAAACGGTAAAAAAACAAAAGGCTAGTTCAATACCAAAAGTCAAAATGTTCGGCTAAATGTACGTCGAGACAAAGGTTGTTCGTCTGAAGCAGCTTTAAACGAGAACGACGAGGTCTTTGTAGTTTTTATGTAGAATATATTTTATAACCGAGGGAAATTTAACAACAAGTAAACGTGACGAGGCGTCTGGAGGCTTCAGTGCCAAACAGAAGAAAAACTAAAACCTGTTTTGTTCTCGGCTCCCACAGAACAGCAGCCTCTCTCCGGGTCCGACGAAGGGTCCGACCGTGGCGGCCCGACTCAAACACCTCCAGCAGGGGAGCCTGGAGAGACCCAAAGGGCGCCGGCAGAAAGAGGACTTCCCCAAAGTCCAGGGCCAGCAGCAGGTATTCCACTTCTAAAAGCTGCTTCTCTTCCTGCTGTCGCTGCGAGGAAACCTCCACCTCCTCCTCCTCCCCAAGGACTCCGAGGCACAAACTGATTCACCTCCTCTTCATCTCTGCGTTACGCCTGGGGGGTACCAGAGTCCGGCTGAGTTTAGGACGTCCAGTTTTTGTTGGGTCTGGTGATGATTTCTGGTTCAGATGCTTGTTCCTCTCTGTCTGTTCTTCTTGTTGCCTTCAAACTGCCGTGATGCTGCGACGCCTCATCCACAAACACAAAAACTACAAGTTGAAAATTACCTGCAGACGGTTTAAATATAAAAAACAAACGAAGGTTCAGATTTTAGAAAAATATATATATTAACAGAACATAAAACATCCATCGAAATTCATGCCATCTATCTAATTTTTTTAATTAATAAACTTTATTTTTCTATTTATAGATAGGGTCAGACATCCACAGATTTAAATGTAATATTTATAAAATCCTACCATATTTACCAAATTATCAAAACGTAAAATATAGTTTTCATTTGTGTTGCATTAAAAGCACAACTGGAATTTTTCATTATTAAAACCAAAACGTGGTCAGTTGATGAATCTTGATCCTTTCGTATCATTTTTTTAGAAAGAAACATTAACTTGCTCATAAATGTATTGCAAACATTGTTCTCACAAATAAATTATTTAAAATATTGAAATGTTATATTGAGATATTAACTATTTCCAGGCAGTATTTGTACTGAATACGAACGTTACTCGTAAAAAAAAAAACCTACAGATGTAAGTTAAAACAATTCATAAAGAGTCTGCAAAGTTTTAGAATGATTAAAAAAAAAACTAATTAGTGTCACATTACAACTGTTAGCATCTTGTAACAGCATCTAGCACTGTGTAACATCTGTTAGCATCATGTAACAGCTGTTAGCATCTTGTAACAGCTGTTAGCACTGTGTAACATCTGTTAGCATCTTGTAACAGCTGTTAGCACCGTGTAACATCTGTTAGCATCTTGTAACAGCTGTTAGCACCGTGTAACATCTGTTAGCATCATGTAACAGATGTTGGCATTGTGTTACATGATGTTAGTGTCGTGTAACACTTGTTGATATAGTGTAAAAGCCGTTAGCATCATGTAACAGCTGTTAGCATCGTGTAACATCTGTTAGCGCCGTGTATCTGTTAGCATCTTGTAACAGCTGTTAGCATCACGTTACAGGAGCTAGCACCGTGTAACATCTGTTAACATCGTGTAACATCTGTTAGCACCATGTAACAGCTGTTTGCATCATGTAACAGATGTTAGCATCATGTAACAGATGTTAGCATCACGTTACAGCTGTTAGCATCATGTAACAGCTGTTAGCATCTTGTCACAGCTGTTAGCATCTTGTTACAGCTGTTAGCATCATGTAACAGATGTTAACTTTTTACCCAAACCTCCACAGGTCTCTGATCTCTTAATTATTTGTTGAAAACAAGAAACGTCCATACGTCTTGTAAAGACGTTGTCTTGGCAGAGACAGTTTGTGCACGTTTGAGACGAAGCGTCTTCAGACTCTCGATGTTTTAAAGGACGTTTTTCGTCCGTGGGCTCAGATTTCGAGCAGCGGCAGACTGAAGGGGACGGACCAGTTTGAGTTTATTTGCAGAGTTCGGCTCAGAGACTCCTGAGGTCTCTTCAGAGCTCTGAGCTCCTTATGGTCCTCCCTGACCTGCTGCTGCCCTTGGGTCAAAACGACCCCTCAGGCCTGTTTTAAAACATTTTGACTCAGTGGCAGCTGGAGGGTTAACTTCTCTCCTTTTTTCTGTTTCTCCATCTTTATCTCCTCTTCTTCCTCAGTTTATTCCTCGTTTCCTTTTTATCTCCTGAGAGTTTCCTCTGCAGCGCAGATCTCCATGCTTCCTCTCCTTCATCTCCTTGTTCCCTCCTCTTCCTCCTCCAGATGTGACGCTCAAAGGAAGAGTAGCGTCAGAATCAGAGCAGATGTTTCTTTCGTCTGAAGCTCAGCGACGGTTTCTGTTCGTCCGTCTTGAGCGCGATTCATTCACCTAAGCCCCGCCCTCTGTGTTGGCCAATCAGATTAAAGCAGCGGCGGCGAAAAGACACAGATTGAACAAAAACTTGAAGCACAATTGTCGGCTGTCTGTTAGATGATTTTGATTTTATCTTTTCTTTTCCCCCTCCCTTTCACCGCTTCATGTTTCCGTTAAATTTTTACATGCTTTGCTCTTAAACCCCGCCCCCTTTCCTCCTCCCCCCGTCCTCGCCCACGTTTTGGATCAGTCCTGAGCTTCTTGCTGCTCATCGAGCCGATCGATCATCTTCATCTTTTTCTTCGCTGCTGTTTCCCGACGTCATTTCAGAGTTTTTGCCCTTTTTTGTTTGTAGCTTGTTTTTCATCCTGTCTGCTTCTCAGGTCTCATCCGGACTCATCCGGACTAATCCGTGAGGAGAACTCGGACCGCTCCAGTTCTGGACTCCTAAACCCTAGTTCACGCCTCCGGGGTGCGACTCCATCAGCCAGAAATCACAGAAATATCATGGCGCAGTGAACAGAGCAGAGATGTTTCTGCAGCTCGTCTCGTTAAACTCCATCTTTGACCAGAACTCTAAAAGGACTCTGTCCCGGTTCCACGCGTCAAACACGTTAACGAGCTTTTTAATTAGTTTAATTAGAGCGACTCCAAGAAATTAAACAGATAATGGAAGAAACTCGTGTCTGAAATTATATTTGAAGATACAGGAGTCCGAAGTTATCGCCCGCCTTTGATCACGCTGGACGATAACGACGTTATTCTGTCTGTTAGTAAAATATCTCAGGAACCACAGGATGAATTTTATTAAAACTCTCAGAAAATATTCACTGGCTGTACGTCGACAACCCATTCATCTGTGGTCGGGTCATGAAGGTACCAGGCCCAGGAGAGACCCAGACCTGCTCCTCCTGGAGGATCCTTGAGTGTAAAGTCCCTCCAGAGAGATCTGGGTCTACCCGGGGATCTCCTTCCAGTAGGAGGTGCCCAGAACTCCTCTAAAGGGAGGCGTTTATCCTAATCAGTTGAAGCACCTCAGGTGACCCCCTGAATGACGGAGCTCCTCCCCCAAGGACCTCAGGGAAGATCAGCATCTGCCCCATGCGTCTGTTGGAGGACGCCTCGGCCAATTTTAGGAAGAAAAAAAATAATTCTGTCGGGGACCCGGGTACGGAGCGACTGAGGAAAAACTTTTCCTCCGGTTCGCCCCCGGCCCACTCTGCCCGGATCGCCGGGGCCTGAGTGAAAAATCCCTGAATTTGGGGTTCCTGTGTTCCCATTCATCCCAGTACTGAAAGCGGCCGCCAGGTGGAGCAAGGAATGTTCCCTTTTGTCCGGCGGGACATCGAGACATTAGACAACCGCACCTCCTCGTTCTGAAATGTACCTTTTGTCCCAGAGTACAGGAACTGTCTCTGTCCCCACCTTAGATGAGGGTTTGAACACAGAGCAGTAAATCCACAACTTAGTTTTTCATCTTCACTCTTTCTTCACCATTGCAGACCGTAGCAACACCCTCATTACTGCAGACGAAGCCCCAACCGACCCGTCTCAGTCAGAGGTTCGAATCCCCACCATGCTCATATGTTGTGGTGTCGTTGAGCAGGACACCTATTCCCCATCTGCTCCCTGTGCACCTAAATATGACTGCGTTCACTTCCTCAATGTCTCTGCTCCATTTCAAGATGGCCGCCACAGCTGCTACCACACCAGAGGCTCATTTTGATCATTTTCCTTATTTTGACTGAGCTGACGTCCATCAGCCGAGGCAGCCATCTTGAATTGATCAGCTGTTCATCTGTACAGTGGTTCAATAGATATTTTGCTAACAAACGACCGGCAGGCAATAAAAAAAATTTACAGTAAATTTTTAACTAAATTAGACAAAAAAATTTACATTAATGGGAGTAAACTGGGACACGAACGATAATTTAACATTTTAATTTTTATAATTTCTAAAATAATTTGTTGTGAAATTTAACGGAGTTCTGGATAAAAATAAATAAATAAATAAATAAACCTCCGAACAGGCTGAACGTTGAGATGAGCTGCTGAGAATTTGAAACATAAAAATAAATAAATGAAGAGTTTATAATTAACACGTAGGCTCAGATTAACTCAGATTAATCCAGAATTAAGCAAGTTATCGATGATATATTGTACGTAGATTATTCTAAAACCATTTATTTTACTTTTTAAAGAACATGTAAAGAAAAGTCATCTATGTTTTCTATAATCCAGCTTGTTTTGTATTTTTATACTTGAAGAGATTCATAAACATGTAACACATTTATTCTGTAAATTATTATTTTTCTGTGTTAAAGATTTTATTTTTTCTGCGAACCATGATCACACTTTGTTCCAGACAATAACCGTAAAAAAATTAAAATAAATAAAAAACAGGCTGAGCAGCGTCTGTAGCTGTTTTAATCCAATATAACCGACTCCTCAGATTACAGATTAAACTGTTTGTTGATGACTTCTTGATGAATGTGTGATCGTTAAAAAAACGTTTGTGGATGTTTGAATCGTGTTTATAACCCGAACAATATAATCCAGAGCTGGTTTTATGTGAAGTTTTTAAAGAAACGGTAAAAACGTCTCCAAGGCATGAAAACGTAAACATTCCTGCGATCTGCACGCTGACTCCACGTCGTGTAATCCCGTGAGCGTCCGGTAGAATAAATCTGTACAAACGTAGACTTTTGTATCCCGTTCTGTCAGAATAAATAAAAACAAACTCCAGCCTCACCAGAGAAATGAACTAAAAGATGCTCCTTCGGTCTGGAAGTGCCGCCTGCCGTGTGGGTCCGTGTTGTTCGTTCTAAACGTCGGCTGAGATGAGCCGAAGCGCAGATCTTCGGCTGCTGCTTCGTGACGAGCTCAAAGGTTGCTGCTTTTTGTACGTTCCTGTTGTGTTTTTGTGACAATAAAGCTGAACCTGACACGGCGCCGCTCTCCGTCTCTTATTGGGAGAAGAAAAACACGACAAAACAGCCGAAATCATCAAATCTAGCTTCAAGTCAGCACAAATGACCAAAAGATGGGCGGGACGGGGAGGAGGGGTCACCTCCTGTAAGGATCCAGTGAGAACGCTTGCTGCTGAGTGATTTTAGCTGAAAACAGCTGAAACTGTTTCATCGCCAACTGTTGCGAGCCGAGTGTGAACAGCTGAAGGGAGCTGAATAAGCTGAATGCTTTCTTCTGCTCGTTCGGTCAGCAGACGCTCGCTCTCCCACGACACTGAGCTTGTTTTATTGTCCGTGAGTCTTCAGAACCGCTGCGTCTGGCCCGTCACCCAGAACCTGCCGGAGACCCCCAGGGCCCGACAGCAGAGCTCCTCGGGTCAGTCGGGCTCAAAAACTCCTCCACGACGAGGAGGAGCTCATTTAGAATGTTTAACAATAATTCGTAACTAAAGGGAATAAACCAACGGTACTTTTCTCAGTCAGATGTGAATCATCGTCTAGTTTTATTACTTCGTTAAAGATTTGAACTTTTGTTGCTGCTAAAACAATTTATTTAAAAGTGACGGATCATGTTTGTGTCGTCCAAAAGGACCATCTGAACAGCTGATTCCTGCAGGATTCAAGTTTTATTTTTGTCTTTTTATTTTCAGGCTGGGCAGAACGGTGGCTCAGTTAGTAGAGCCGTTTCCTCTCGGCAAGCAGGCTGCTGGTTCAAATCCTGGTCCAGGGGCCTTTCTGGGTGGAGTTTGCATGTTCTCTCCGTGCTGCGTGGGTTTTCTCCGGGGGCTCCGGTTTCCTCCCACAGACCAAAAACATGCATGTTAGGCTGATTGGTAACTCTAAATTGTCCCTAGGTGTCCAGGTGTCCCCCACCTGTCCCACCGTGACTGCTGGATACGGGCACCAGTGACCCTCTCGTCCCAGAAAGGAAGAAACGGACAAGATGGATGGTTTTATTTTCGTCTCTAAAGTTCTGGTTCTCTGGTCAGAACCTGAAGCAGCAGAACCTGAAGGTAAATCCACTGATCCATATCTTTAAATTTAATTTAATCTGAAGCTCAGGATGGAAACTTCTTATAAAAGACTCCGTCTGTTCTGGTTCTGAATGAATTGGACTGGGTCGGGTTCAACGAATCCAGAACCAACCGCAGATACTTTTTGTAAAAAGCTTTAAATAAGAAAACATTTGGTCCTTTAATTGGCAGGTTAAACAATAGCTCCGCCCCTGGCTGTGATGTCATCAAGAGGGAGGAAAACCACAGATGAAAAGTTTCAGTCGAACCAACTTGAAGAAAAACACAACGAGCCGCGGTACAAAATATTTTATTTTGCTGATCTTAAAGAGAATAAATATTTAGGTGGACAAGCTGCAGCGGCTCAGAGGGAGATGTCGGAGGAAACCTGCAGCTGCTGACCCCGCTTCCACTTGGAGCTGAGCCGAACGCCGTCCGTCCGTCTGTACGGCTGGTTCCGTAAATCTGAGGAGAGACCAGACATCTGACGCAGGTAAACGCTGACGTTTAAACCAGGAAGCTGTCGCATGTTTACTGTGAGTCCTCAGTGGTCCTGCTGCAGATTAATTAATTCAGATGAGGGATTAAGAGAGCAGATTGTGTTTGACTCTGACATTATTCTAGAAGTTTCTGTTCTCCGTTCAAAGCAGCAGAACCTCCAACCTGAGCAGCTCCAGTAGGTGGAGATGTCGCGACAGTTTCTCATCCGGTCTAAAGCAGAACTTCTCGAACTGGACCGTCGCTGAACGTTTTAATTTTTATTTTTTACTCCAAGCAGAACTACCATTACAAAGCCTTGGTACATCCCGGACCTATTTTAGGGGCGCACAAAACGAGATTAACAGAGTAAGTGTGGAAAATGTAAAGATGTTTTATAAATGAGTTAATTCATCAAGTGTTGTTAAAGAGGTGACGTCTCTTCGATTCTAAAAGCAGGACCGGTGTTGTACCAGAAAGTGTTCAGGCACCACAGGAGCGCACAGCCTGAACACTTTTGGGTACAACACCTGCTTCCTGTTTGATGCTAACAGCCCGTTAGTTTGGATGTTTCTGCTGCTTTAGGTCTTGGAGTCAATATTTGATCAAGATCCCAGTGAAGGTATTGGCCAGTTTCAAAAGTTCATAAATATCTGCAGAGCTCAGTATTAGAAATTATGACAAACTAATTTTTTACAATTTTTATTTGCTAATCTGGGTGTGATAATCTAACCAGACTGAGTCAGGTCCTCTGGACAGATTCTTGTTGAAACGTTTCATCTTTTATCCAAAGGACTTCTTCAGTCTGAGGAGCTGCAACAAACTTACTTCTCAGTGTGGATCAACCAAAACCAGCTGATCACATGCTCAAGAAGGACCATCAGCCTAACAATGGATCATTAGCACCTGATGGCTGTTTACTGTTCACAGAGGGCTGAGTGATACTAGCAATCACAGCATTGTAAGAGGGGGACAGTTGAACCTGGAGGCTCCACCCCTGTTTAATGATGGACGGTTTCTTTTCACAAAGATGGCCTCCTTTACTCCTCTCTCAAACCATCGTTCCTCTCTGTCCAGGATGTGAACATCTTCATCCCTGAAAGAGTGACCTCTGACCTGGAGATGAGTGTAGACCGCAGAGTCCTGGCCTGATGATGTTGATCTTCTGTGCTGGTCCATCCTTTTGGCCAGTGGCTGTTTAGTTTCCCCGATGTAAGACTGATCACCCTCCTGACACTGAACAGCATACACAATATTACTCTGTTTGTGCCGGGGGACTGGATCTTTGGGATGAACCAGTCTTTAATGTATTTTGGGGTTTAAAAGCCACTGGGACGTCGTGTTTAGAAAATAAACGTCTCAGTTTCTCTGATACTCCCTCAACATATGGAATGACCACTGGTCTGGGTCTGGGTTCCTCCTTTTCACCTGATGCTGACTGGAGTCCTGTTTGGGTTTCTTCTCTGCTTTCAGGAAGGCCCAGTTAGGATATCCACATTGCTCTAGAGCCTGTCTTGTGTAGGATTTCTCCTTCTGCCTGGCTCCTGAGCTAGCGGGGACGCTGTCTGCTCTGTGGTACAGAGTCCTGATGACTCCTAACTTGTGCTCCAAAGGGTGATGGGAGTCAAACTGCAAATACTGGTCTGTGTGGGTGGGTTTGTAAATGTCCTCTACCCCACAGCAGACCCATGTTTCAACAAACCCAGAGGACCCGACTGAACCTAGTTAGATATTTAAATTGAAAATTGTATCCCAGATATTCAAAATAATTTTTATTTGTCAAACTGACAAAGCTCTGCCCCAAATGACCAAATTGTATTTAGTGTTTAAAGTAAAGCCGACTCTGCTGTAAATCCTGTGAACCTTGATGGACATGACAGACTCTCTGGAGGTGTAGACGTTGGGCCATGTGTCCATGGAGAAGATCCTCGGATGAGAGGACAATGATTTGTGTTCCACTGGGTCGAGTTCTCCCAAGACACATGGACCGACGCTCAGCTGTCCACACCTGACCTCCAGTCAGCTTCACTCCTCAAACCAGTTGGAACAATGGATCAACAATTACTTCAGCTATTAAAACTAGACTGTAAAATACTGTAGGTTTAGTTTTTATAATTTGTAAAAAATTAATTTTATTAACGCTGCATTGCATTCTGGGTAAATGACAGAGTATGGTTGCTCCATTCAGCTTTATCTGACGATCAGCCTTTAATTTGACCCAGAGCGCGTGGGAATGACTCGGCGTTCACGTTGGCGCCAGAGCTAACGGTGGAAGAATCCAACAGTGTTAGCATCAGCGCTAACAGTGTTAGCTGTGAGTTAATTGCATCAGCGCTGATTTTTTGTTCATTCGTTCAACTTTTATTTAGACAGGTTAATCACCTGAGCCTCGGGGACCCATTACAAGAGGGTTAAAGGTTAATGGGGATTAGTGCCGGAGCTACTACACTAAACATCACAAGTTGAATTTAATTTATCATTTAATTTTCCTCTGGAATTAAAGTATTTTAGAATTGAATTCAAATGAACCTATTTTGCTTAAGGATTAATACAAAATAAACATTTGTCTCTACTACAACCGTTGTACGTCATCGCCCCAGAATGCATTGCACCAGTGAAATAATGGCGACGTCCTCAGATGAAAAATGTAATAAACATATAAATTTTTAAGTCTTTCGGAGTTTTCACGAGTCAAATAACATATTCAGGCCAATGTGTGCAAGTAGTCGAAGATCCCTTTAAACATCTCTGAACCCTCAGGAAGGAGGGTAAGGAGTGTGTGAGTTCACATTGCTGTGGTTTTAAAGCCTGGAGCTCCAGATGTTCAGAGAGAAACTGAAGCCCAGAAATATGACCAACCATAAAACCTGTCGTCCATGAGGCTGAACTGTGACATCAGCTGTAGAAAGAAAGGGCGACGTTTTTATCCGAGCTGCTAGCTGCTAGCTAGCTGCGACTGCCGGATCGAGGAGTTTTATTAACGCGCTCGATGTGAAGCTGCGTGAACGTCTTCCTCTCACCTGTGATGATGTCCTCGATGGCGCCGTCCTTCTCCTCCCTCACCTGAGAGGACACCTGTCTCCTCTTCAGCTCGGCGATCACGTCCATCTGAGGCAGTCTGGACTTGAGCGGACCCTGAAGCAGAAAAACCTTCAGGTTTATTTGGACGTTTTTGTGGTTTCAGATATTTTGCTAACAGACTCTCACCGCCTGGTTTCCTGTGGGTTCAGGTTTAGTTGGAGTCGATGGCACCTCAGAGACCAGGACATGTTTGTTCTCCTGCCCGGCCTGCTGTCAGAACAAAGAAAAACCCGATTTGTGAGCAGAACTTTGACCCCAGGTGACCTTTGACCTCTGACCTTAAACGCCCGGATGAACCTGACGAAAACCGGGAAGAACACGGTGGGCGGGCTGCTTTTAGGATCCTCTCCAAAGTATTTCACGGTTGACTCGTAGACCTCCTGCGGAACAAAAAACCACTTCAGAACCAGAACCGGACCGCTTGGCGTGGACATAATGGGTTCTACTGGAGCGGACCTGAGCGGTTCTGCCGTCGGCGATCAGAGAGTCGAGCAGCTGAGAGTTCCTGCGGAGGAAGTCCTGCAGGACAGCAGGATCTTCCTCTGCAGGGACCTGAGTCTTCATCGCCTCCATCCCGCCCTGCAGATCCTTCAGGTCCAGCAGCACACTGTCCAACCAGACTAGAGACGGGCCAAACTTTAGTTTTCATCCTGCAGAACCAAACTGGACCGCCTCGTCATGAAGGTTCTGAACAGAGTTTTTAAAGGACTGAAAACTTTTGTACCAGTTTTAGCAAACAACTGATATTTACCGACACTCTGTTCTGACAGTGAACGCATCGTTTGTTTTCTCTCCTGCTGACTTAAATCTGACGAGCGGTTCTCCAACCTGCGGCTCTGGAGCCACATGTGGCCCTCCAGGCCCGTTCTGTTGAAGGTTCTGACCCGTGTGACGTCACAGGGCTTACCGAGCGCAGCCTTGTCCAGGAAGTTGAGCTCGGTGTGGAAGCTCTGCAGCTCCGGGTATCTGTCCTGGATGGTGCTCACGATGAAGTGCAGCAGCGTCTGCCGGCGGTCCGTGGACTTGGTGTCCAGCAGCTGGGAGACGGGTCAGAACAGGAAGAACTCATCGACCCAAACACACACAGATAAACTGTAGGAACGGTCCGGTTCCTCACCAGATCTAAACTCTGCAGGCGGAAGCCGTACGCCGGGCCTCGCTTGCTGCTGTTCATGAAGTTTCCAAACGCCAAAATAATCTGAGGTCACAAACAAACATCTCCTTCAAAATAAGAGTTCAAATAGATATATTTAAAATAACGTTTTAACTTTTAAAGATCGAGACACAAAAAGTGTTAAAAACAAAACTAGCTATGAAACGTTTTACCACGACCACCTCGGTGATCATGGCGTTCTGTTAGCAAAATATTCCCACTGCTGCCAATGGAGTCAAACCAGTTCAAAATGGCCGTCATAGCTAATTTCCTGTAGAAAACAAAGAGAGCTTAAGGTTCCAGATGCAGAGCTAAAGTTTGGTGTGGTAGTAGCTGAGAGTCGTCCTCAGCAGACTGAGCTCTTTCAGGTCATGTGATGATGAACTGGTCTCAAAAGTCCACTTGTCAAACTGCACAAATCACCTGCTGCGGCCGGATCAACTTGTCGGTCAGTGTCACTTCTGAGACTTTCTCCAGATTCACAAATGCTGCGTTCAAGGCTGGTGAAAAGCTGGGACTTCTGAGCCTCACCAGGTTTATTATGACCGCATAAACTGAGATTAAAACACTATCGCTTGGATTAAAGTTACTGGATTACAAAATGTGAGTTTAGTGAACTGTCCGGCTGAAACGAGGTTATTCCGTTAGCACTCGGAGTGTGGGTGAGGGACTCTCAGCTACTACCACACCAGGTATCTGCAAACCGGACCGAGTCAGAACCTTTGCTTTGGCTAAGGTTGGTTAGCTGTGGCAGCCATCTTGAATTGGATGTAAGAGTGCATGTTTAGTTTTATTCATATTCCTCCAGCGCTTCATGATATTTTGCTGACAGATGTTACATGATCGCCCGCGTCTGTTTGAAGAGGTTTTAACGTCTAATTTCAAAACGTCTGAGAGGGAAAGATAAAAACCTCTAAATGTTTGTTCAGTCAGGAGCTCCAAACAACAAAAACAAACAAACAACAAACGTGTTCACCTCCAGGATCTTCTTCAGTTTGTCAGAGGACTTGATGGACATGGAGGCGGCGATGACGGCGTTCAGTTGCTGGAAGAGATTCTGGTTTAATCTTAGATCAAAGGGACTCCAGGAGGTCCGATTGGACCTGGACTCACCAGCTGGATGTTCTGGACGCTCGGAACAAAGTTCCCCATGAAGGTGAGGGTCCGGATCCTCTGGGAGACCCCTGGGATCCGACCGAAGCGGACCATGAAGCGCTCCTCCTCGCTCAGCTCGTCCAGAGACCGGCCCTGGGCCTGGAAGTTCTGGATCAGTTTCATCTCCTGGTCCGTGGGGACGAAGCGCTGCAGGAGTTCCAGGAAGTCCAGACTCAGCGCCTCCAGGTCGTACCTGCGGGGTGGAGCAGAGGTCGGAGTTGAACCGGCGGGCCGTTGGCAGGGAGGAGGCAAAGTTTCAAACGTACGTCTCGATGGCGCTGCAGATGTCCGACACGGACGTCCCCTCCTTCCTCAGAGTGATGGCCAGGTTTTTGGCCCTGTTGGGCTCCAGTAGACCCGCTTTACTGGGAGACTTGGAGGTCATCTTCCTCTTGGGGGTCTCCAGGTCCACAGGGGGGGACTGGGCTTTGGTCTTAAACTGCTCCTCAAACGCGTCCATGTTCAGCTCCTGCAACAGAACCAGCTCGTTGATTTATGATCAGAGTTTCTGGGTTCAATCAGAACCTTGACCCGACCTGCAGGACCAGCTCGTCGTTCAGTTCACTGAAGATGGTTCCCGGCACCTGATCTGGTTTCAGAACCTCCCAGTTCAGCAGCGGCAGCCGGTACTTGGTCTGAATGGGTTTCTTTTGTTTACAGCCTGAAAGAAAACAACAACAACACTCAGGTTCACGTCTTTCTGCTGTCGACCTTCAGGACGGCTGCACGGACCAAGTTCTGGACCCAACAAGAACCGAAGAGTTTCTGCAGAAGCAGCTTCTCTCTGGACTCGGTGACTCGAAGTTAAAGTTTCTGTCGTCGTCTCGCTGAACTCCGAGTGTTCGTAACAAGACGCGCTGGAAATTCACCTGGTTTTATCGGAACCTGTCGTCTCCCCGTGTGCAGACCTGGACCAGTTTTTAAAGGACCATCATCGAGGCGTTCAGACTCCAGTGTTTCCTGTCAGAGGAGAGCCCCCAGCAGGAGTCCAAGTCCAGCGGCTGATTTATCTGTTGTTGACAGAAAGCTGAAGGAACGGATCTAAGCTCAAAGTTCTCAGTTTCTGTTGAGGACGACTTTCGGCTACTACCACACCGAACTTCAGCTCATCATCTGTAAAGCTGAGCTGGAGCAGGTTTGTGTTTCAGATCAGTGAGCTGTGGCAGCCATCTTGAACAGGGTCGACTTCAAGCAGCCGATAATGTGTTTCTGAAAGTTTCATCCAATGTTCATGAGATATTTTGCTAACAGACAATTACATCATCCCCCGTCTTTCATGGTGGCAGACAACAAGGAAGGTTAAAAAAAAGAATTAGTAAAAGTTCGTTTTAGATTAGATCCTGCAGGGGGTTTGAAGACTCGTCCCACTGGAACGAGACCAGAACCAGGACTCTGGACTGGGAGGTCTGGGTTCTCCTCGTGGACCTGTTGGCCCGACTGCAGAACGAGTCTGAGAAGATCTAAAAGGCTGCAGTTCTTCAAGGTTTACAAAAAAAAAACATTCTTAAGAAGTTAAATTATCACAACAATCTTTGATCTTCAGGAGTTTTAAATATTTTACTAAATATTTTAAACTCTGGAAAAAACTGAATCTCATTTAAAGTTTTTTATTTTTTGAGCAGACAAAACAGATTTCAGTTTAAAACTTTAAAACTGACCAACCTGTCGACGCCGTCTGCCGGGTCACACCACTTCCTGGAAGCTGTGGAGGAGGCGGAGCTAATGGAGGAGGAGGGGGAGGAGGTGGGGGAGACGGAGCTTCAACTGAAGGTGGCGAGGAGGAAGGAGGAGGAGCTTCTGTTCCTTCACCTGCAATGATGAAATGTTTGGTCAGAAGTTTTCATACAGGAAACAAAGTCCATCTTGCGTCGACGAGTTCAAGTTGGTGACAACTATTGATGCGTTTAGCTACAAAAACAGCTGAAGTGACTGGAAAGGTCGTGTTAAACCTTCGGCTGTATTTGTTTACCTCCACAGCCGAATGTTTCCAGGTCCAGTCTTTGTTTACAATCAGCGCAGACCCACATTTCAGACTTTATGAATATTTTTGTGGAAAACTAGAGGATGAAAGTCAAACTGCACCGTCTGACCTCTGAGGATCTCTTGATGGACCACCTGGACCTCCAGCTGTCCAGAGGTGGAGCGCTCCACCCGGAGGAGACCCTGCTCCACCAGAACCTGAACGCCGAGCTGCAGCTCCTTCAAGGCCTCCAGAGACCCGAGCCCAGCCAGTTCTGGAGTTTGGTTCTGGAGCCGGGAGCTGGACTCATGAAGACTCTCCTGCGACACACAGAGAGGTGGGTTCAGACATTCTCTGAAGACCAGAATCAGAACCCAGTACCAAAGGATGTTGCACCTTCAGGAGCTCCGCCTCCTTGTTGGTGTGGAGCAGCTTCTTCTCCAGCTCAGAGACTTTGTCCATCGCCTCCTTCTCGGCCTCCTGCAGCCTGCAGCTCAGCTGGAACAACGAAGACACGTGAAGCTGAAGGTCCGAGCAGAGTCGGACTCTTCTCACGTCGTTTGTTCCACGAAACGACCTGAACTGAACTAAATGGATTCTATTTGAATTAAAGGTCATTAAAGGTCAACAAACTGATCGATGAGCTGGTCCCTCCTCTCGACCTCCTGCTGCCTCCGGCTCTTTCAGGGGGCGGGTCGAGTAAAAACACGAGTGTTTCTCTTCTGGAGGACCGTGGACCTCAGGCTGGCTCTGCCTCGACATGAACATCAAGTTCTGAGCTAACCAGGACCTTTTCCTCACCGGACCTAAACGAACCCATGCAGAAGGCAGCAGGTGTGTGTGTGTGTGTGTGTGTGTGGGGGGGGGGGGTCCACCTGTGTGTTGTGCTCCTGCAGCGCCTCCAGGTGCTCCAGCAGGTTGCTTTTGGACTCGGCGTCCTCCAGCAGAGCTCCAACGTCGAACACGTTGTCCAGGTAGGCCTGGATCTGGACCAGCAGCCGGTCACTCTCCGTGAACTTCAACCTCTGAAAAACAATCCAACGTCAGTTTGGACCTACAGATCCAGGACCGGGGGTCAAAGGTCACGCTTGCCTCAAGGTAGTCGTCCAGACCGTGTCGGGTGAACTCGTACTGAAGGTGGACTCTGAAGTTCATGTTCTCCACCGAGTGGACCACGATGTTGATGAACTGCATGCAGGCCACCTGAGATCAGAACCGCAGGTGAGCCCGGGTCTGACGGAGACCAATCACAGGTTTTAGCTCTGATTTTGAACTCGTCTCTTCTTCTGCTGTTTTCACTGAACCACTTCCTGTTGGACTCAAAATGTCCTCCTGCACTAGACGGACGTTCCATCATCAGAAAACAGCTTAAAGGATCAACTCCTCACACGCTGACCAGGTTAACAGACAACCCTCTGAAGGGATGGGAGGGAGGGTGATTTGCCTGTGAGTTCTACAAATCATAAAAAGGCGTGGACCGTCTTAAGAGATGGTTCAGTTTGCTGGACGTCTGGACGACAGAACGGACAGCAGGACACATGAGGATGTCAAACTGGGACAAACTGATGTGGATGGAGGTCCGTTGGACCTTCCTGAACATCAGAAACAAACGTAAAGATCAGATGTTTACCATGAAGTCGATGTTGTTGTCTTCATGGTGAAAATACTCCATGAGCTTCTCGAAGCGACGTCTCTCTCCACAAACCTGGAAAATAAACCTCGGGTCAGAACTTTCTCCTTTAGTGTCCAAACGAGCAGAACAGCTGAGATACTGAACAGAACCTTCAGAACCCAGACCTCTGGTAGAAGACCTGAGTGAAGCAGAACCGCCCCGCATGAAGAGTTGTTTTTTATTTATTTATATTTCAGGAAGCTTTTAAACAAATTTTTACCAACATCCAACCCAACGCGTTTACCACAGCGACCAGTCGGACCTCTTTGACGTTGTCGAAGGCGGCGAGGATGATGTCGTGGCCTCCTCTCACCAAACACACGGCCGCCAGCAGCTCCAGAACCAGAGCTTTGGTCCTGACAAGACGAGACGTTACTTCAACCAACAAACTGGACCTGGTTTACTCCTCTACGGTTCTGTTAAGATGAAATTCATCATTTCTGTTGTTTAAAATCAAACATCATCAAAACGGATCAGACAGGTTTTCTGGTCCAACTCTGGATGAACTTATTAACGGAAGATGAATCGACAGCAGCCGTTACAAAACGGTTCAGAGAAAAACAAGTAAAAATTGAAAATGTTTGATTTAAGGGACGAAGTTTGGGCCAACAGGAACAGAAACAATTTAATAAAGTGGTCCCAGTCATCTTAATCTGGTGGATTCCAGTTTGTAAATATAAATAATGAATCTTCATACACCAAAGTTAGTCATGGAGTTCCTCAAGGTTCAGTGCTTGGACCAATACTCTTATATACGACAACACAGACGAGACTGAGGTTTTGGTTTTTGGACCTGAGCACCTTAGGAATGAATGTTTCAGTCTTTCTCCCTCCTTAGATGCATTAATCTGTCCTCCAGCTCTAATGTTAAAAATCTTGGTGTTATTTTTGATCAGGACATGTCTTTTATCCCCCACATTAAAAACGTTACTAGAACCTCCTTCTTCCACCTGCGTAATATCACTAACATTAGAAACATCTGATCTAAAGATGATGCAGAAAAACTGGTCCATGCATTTGTCACGTCTAGACTGGACTATTGCAATGGTTTATTATCTGGGTGTCCAAATATTCTTTAAAACGTCTTCAGTTGATCCAAAATGCTGCTGCCAGAGTCTTAACTGGAGTTACTGGGAGAGAAAATCTTACTTCTAACCTACAAAGCTCTCAACAACCTAGCTCCATCTTATATTACAGATCTTATTGTTCCATATTTTCCTAACAGAGCACTTCGCTCTCAGACTGCAGGTTTACTTATGGTTCCTAGAGTTTCCAGCAGCAGAATGGGAGAAAGATCTTTCAGTTCTCAGGCTCCTCTCTTGTGGAACCAACTTCCAGTTTCTGTCCGTGAGGCTGACACATTGTCCAGTTTTAAGACTTTCCTTTTTCATAAATCCTATAGTTAGGGTTGACTTGGGTTTCCTGAGCGATCTCTTAGTTATGCTGCTATAGGCTTAGACTGCTGGAGGACAAACTGACCACATGTTCTCTCTCTGCGGAGTTCTTTACTTGCTCTATTCTCCCTGTTTGTAATTATTTCTGTCTTAACGTGTTTTTTTTATCTTTCCTCCTATAGAAACCACACCTGGACCATAGAAACCACACCTGGACTATAGAAACCACACCTGAACCTGCCATTCTGTGTTTGTCTGTTTCTACTTCCTGTTCTCTCAAACAAGCCAGTTCGCTCGTCCTGGTCCTGGTTCTGATGGAGGTTTCTTCCTGTTAAAGGGAGTTTTTCTTCCCACTGTCTCCTCTGTTCTTGCTCAGGATGAGAGACTGTGATGAAGTGAAGATTCAACACAATCTGCTGCTTCTTGAGATCAGTTTTACTGACTGACTTTTAAAATGTGTGTGAATGTTTCTGTTCAGTGAACTGAGACGACTTCTGTTGTGACTTGGAGCTAAAGAAATAAATTAAAATTATTCCTCGTCAGAAGAACTTTAATCATAAATCTGTTTTCAGCTAACGGTCAAATTAATATTAAAATATTTAGAGTTACAAAAATCAATTAATGTGAATCTCTTAAAATGTAATTATCGACTAAAACAAGATGAATCTGTCCCAAAACACCTTGAAAATGAGCGTTTTTCATTTAGTTTGAATGTAAATAACTGTTTGAATAATTACTGAGTCCGAGTCTTCAGTTCTGGAGGGGCTCACCTCGGGTTCCTGTCGTTCAGACTCAGGGTGATCTCGTTCACGCAGCTCGGATGCTTCATCACCAGGTTGAACCCCGACTGAAAGAAATTTAATTCATTTAATATCTCGCTGGAGAATTTAAACTAAACCGTTTAAATACAACTCAAGTTTTTAATTTTAAATTCCAGTAGATTTTTTGTTTTGTTGCAGATTATTTGGACAAACAGTTTTAAATTAGCTTTTTGATCAATATTTTATGATAAAAATTGTCTTCTGTAATTAAACACTGAACTTATTTTAGTTTTATTTTCAATAAAGAGTGGTCCCTTCATTTCCTCTGTTTGTGACAACACAAAGGTCAAAGGTCATTGTTACCCGGTAGTTCATGATGGCCCGTAAACACATGATGCACAGATGAACGTCGTCCTTCTGACTCTGAGAGCTCCTCTGACCTCGCCTGTTTCAACAACAAAACATTCTTCGACAACATACCGCTGAGTTCTGAAGGCAAGCTGAAAGCTAAATGTAAAACAATGCTAGCTAAAAGTAGCAAAACGCTAACTACAAGTATTGAAACAAGCTAAAACTACAAAATGCTGTCTAAAGCTGTTGGTAGCAAATGGATAGCTAAACAAAAACAAAACGTACAAGTAGTAAAACACGATTGAAAAGTAGCCAAATGCTAGTTAGCAAATGGCTAGCTAAAACCTAAAAGTAGCCAAATGCTAGTTAGCAAATGGCTAGCTAAAACCTAAAAGTAGCCAAATGCTAGTTAGCAAATGGCTAGCTAAAACCTAAAAGT